GTGGTGGTGGTGGTGGTGGTGGTGGTGGTGGTGGTGGTGGTGGTGGTGGTGACTGCTTTACTAAGTTTGTGGAGCAGGTTCAATTTTTTTTTATTTGGTGTGCGTGTTGCATTTCTCTTTCCCCCGGTGGTGACGTGTCGCATCGGCCATAGAATGGTGAGCTCACGTGACTCTTGGCCAACTGCAATTATCTGGACGCACGACTATTTCGAACCGGAATTCGATCAGGATGTTGCAGATCAGCGGATCTGCAACCAATCACTGCGGGGGTGAATGACCTTGAGAGAGCGGGTTCCAGGACTACGGAGATCGCAATAATGCCTGTCAGCAACAATGTTGACAGACGCCGGGACATTGGAGTCCAATGGTCTAGGAAGCGCAGAGACAACGAGGACTGTCTGGAAAACAAGCAGAAGTTACGGTAGCAAATTCGGCAGAAATCACACTAATCTATGCTTCTTTGGTGGCAGGGAAACGCCTGTTTTCGCAGACCTGCTCCCTTCCCAGACCGGAATTCGGATAAAATTAAATTTAGTGAGTGAGATGCGTACCAACGGTAGGATTGTAAACAGCGTTGGCGGCTGTGGCTGTCATGAGTGCACCAGGTTGAAGGGGCGGCTGGACAAAGCCGGCGGTTCAGTTGTACGTCAACAGCGGATCAGAATGCCATTTTAGGATTGGTTGGATTGAGTGACGAGGAGGGGAAACCATTGACCGGAGATTAAGACCGGCTATTGGAAATGAGGTCTGAGTGCTGGTACTAATGGAGTGACTACTCTGCCGAGTTGGGAAGGAACTGCGAGCTGGGCTCGATGGGTTGAGGGTGGTCGGCGATCTCTATATCGCTTCACGGCAGGATGTCAGGGACTGACTTCGCCATATCATGGTCATATCAAATGACACAGGAAAATTCAGTTGAAGTCGAAAAAAGCTTTGAGATGATTTAACTGAGCCATATCAGAATTTTGCGTGTTCATATCACGTCGGAGTCACCAATACCACAATAACTTAGAGTAATAAGAGAAACACTTGCTGCTGCGAACTTCAGACCCGGCTCTCTGTGGGAAGAGAAGAAATGAGACACCAGATGTGAGGAAGAGTGCATTCTGTACACAGGTAGTAGACAATAGGTAGGAAAAAGTTGACTGCCCCACGAGCGTGCGTCAGGAAACCAGAGGGGGCGCGTCCGAAATGTGTGAACCTGGAAGTCATCGCAGCGTCTACAAAGCGGTCTTTGTGTGAGTCAGCCTTGAAGGTGATTGGCCAAACCAGATTGGGTTAGACCCACAAGTGCACACGTGCTAGCAGCCGCGAGCCGCAGGAGTTTGAGTGTTACGCACGGAGTTGGGTCACTACAGACCTGTCGGTGGGGTCTGTCAGACAGGTAAGCTCAGTTACTTCTGGGGGGTCCATTTTCTCCCCTTTGGTGTTAAGGGAAACATAAGAAGAGGGATTAGCACCCTGCCACTGAAGCAGAGCTAAATATGTTAACTGTTGAGTATTGCATACTTTGTTTTAACAGTCGAAACTTAAGTCACTGTTTTCACTTTCACACAGCCCAGAACTAATGAAATTTGCCCGAGCAGTTCGCTCTAGAGCTGTCGGAATCATGCAAAGGTCGCAGGCCATCGCAACGGAGCTCAAGAGAAAAATGAAAAAGGTACTGAATTCGTATTAGTTTACGCTGAAGACAGTGTTTCTAAACAATTACTACACCTGGCAAGCTGTGGTACCGATAGTCTACTTCTCTCTAGTCTCATGAGCGAGCCAGTTATTCTGTAACCTGACACACAAACGCGATAGGCGATGTTTAACACCGCAAATTATGTTTACAAACTCATATTAACAGTCGTTGATGACGTTTATCGATCGGTTACGGGACTCACTCTTCCCGCCCTGCCTTGGGGTACATTTTCGAGGCCCACCAGCAGCCGCAATGTTTGGACCGTTAGACTTCTGACCAAAAGGTCATGGTTTCGGGTCATGCACCAATTGGGACTGGGCATGACTGGCTGACGACGCCTAATGAACCAGACATTGCCATTCCAGTTTCCTCTGTCTTGCCGGCAATGCTATCTGCCGATCTGCTAGCGATCGATTAACCTTCACAGACGAGGGTTCATGTCTCCCGATCTGAACCGGCAAGACAACGAGCCCGCGGCTCAATGGTTAGAGTGTTAGACTTCCGATCAAGAGGTCGCGAACTCTAACCTCGGGTGCTGCACCACCTAGGGTGGAGTATGACCGGTTGATGACGGTTGGTGGGCTAGTGTTTATCAAAAACTTTAAAACAATATATTTCTTAAAAACGCTTACTGAAATAATGACATGTTACGACGTTTTCTAATGCAGATGGTTGTTTAAGTCATGCTTAGAGGCTCACATAAACACGAAAACACATTGCCGAGGAAAATGACGGTTAGGCTGCCACGACTATCTGGACACGTATGATAGTGGATGACCTTGAGGCAGCTGACCTTGAACAAGGACGCCAAACACAGCAATGTTCGGCGTTGTCTACAAACTGCTCACTCAAGTTTAGATCCGAAATTGCAGGAGTTAGGTCATCTAAGGTACTTGTCAATGTTCTATCTCCCGTAAGGCCCCGGATTCACTGTGAAATAATTCTCCTTCAAGGCTGAAGAAGACCGTATTGAGCGTGAATGGATGGATGCGTTAATTGCCTCCGAACAGGAACGCGAATGCCAGGAGAGGATAGCCAAATATAAAGTTAAACAGGAATTTGCCAAGTGCGTACATGATCAGGTGAGTTGAAATTTGTGCACAGTGTAGAAGCAGAAGTTGGCAAAGGTGACCTTATACTTTACCAGTGAAGTAGGCATACACAAAACATGCTAGTTGACTTGCATTATCACTCAGTCGGGAAGTGCTGCAACAACCCACCTGACTGGACAACCTTGACCACGTTAAAAATTGTCACATCAACAGTCGGGGTAGCGCCCAGACAAATTTTTCCAGATTTCTCGCCTCCTGATTGAATTTGATGACTTAAAGGTATAAAATATTTCCTTAGACCCACACTGAAAAGTTTCGGCGACCTTGGTGGAATTTCAGACCTTGTCAGCAGCGGGGAAGGATTTATTACAGTGTGAGCTATGAGACCTCCGCCGGAAGCAGTGAATTAAAATATACTTGGTTCAAGCTAGTCGTCCAGCCTACTGCAACTACTGCAATCAGCTAATTCTGATACAGTAAGCTGCCTACTGACCGAGCAAGAGTTCCTAAGTCATCAAGTTAGAATCCACCAGACGACTACCAAGTACGATTAATTCGTAGAATTGAATTAATCATTTGACAGACTTGTGAAACTCTTGGTTATCTTAGTGGAAGAATGTTCTCAAACTCGTGGCTATCCCTGTAGGGCCTTGAAGTTCAGTTGGCTGTATAAAAGCTGCCCCCTTGCTAACGTTGCTTCGAGCCCCACCAAGGTCGCCCAGCCTTTCCATAATTATATCGAATTAATTATTCATGTTGCCAAAATACCTACTGATATAAGCTACCGTCTTAGTCCTTATCCTCATGATGATAATTTCTTAGAATTATTCTCACAGCCATAAGATTGAAGTAGAACGTCCTTCTGTTTGAGTTAAAGACGGCTAGAACGGGAAAAAATGTAATTTTTATGGGGAAGGTATTTATGTAAAATACTGCATCTTCTAATAGGCTGTACGCGCCCCTGAAGTGTGCGAATTGTCGGTATTTCTTTGTCATGCCTTGCAAGGCAAGCCCATAGTGGACTGAGTAGCATTTGTGTTCAAGTAGTACGGTCGGCATCTTAGACACGTGCGACTGGACATTTAAGCAGACAGTCTGAAGTAAACCTCTACTTTAGTAGAAAGCAATAATGTTTTCAATGCGGTCTTGAAAACTGACATTCAGGCCGCGTACGCACATACATCTTATGCCAAACCTGCTTTATGAATATTCTTCTGGTCGATTATTTGCTAATTCTTAGCCAGTTGCGCAGTTCATCTTCAATGGTCCAATGTGCTAGGTTATTCAGGAGCATAGGCTTAAATTCATAGTCCGAAAATTCCTAATATTTCGAATAGCTGCTTGTCAACTGTTCTAAGCTTGGCCAGGTGAATAAAATACGCAAGCGCTGACTTCCTTCTGTAGGATGCCACCTGACCCATTTCTGCTTATGTCTCTGATGCAGAATCCGCGACGCATGTCAAAACGTCAGGCGAACGAGTCTTGTACCTGCGATCACATCTTCTTTTCATTATTAGTTTTATTGTTACTGTATTCATTTAAGTAGCCACTTATATTATGGTGCAAAAATATGCGTAACCTCAAGGTGACCCGTGCGGACACGTGTACAACACTTACCAGAAGCGCTTGTGGTTTTCTACCAGTTGACTTAACCCCGCTTACGCGTGCCAATTGTCCTTTTTTCAGCTGCGTGACAAAATGACGCTCCGATGTGGCGACTTCCAAAAGGAAAAGCACCGCTGTGAGACGGTTGTGGCTAAAGAACTAGCGGAACTTCAAGCGTATGTAGCCGTTTTTGCATCTTCAGAATTTACAAGTCAATGGATTTAGCCTCAATTTTTCGACCATTATGCATAAGCAAGAGTCTATTCTGCTGCCTTAAACGTTTAGCAGATTCTTTTAATGACCACAGCTGCTTCCCAAGTCTCGATCTACCGTCCAGTCCCGAGCGAGTTAACACTAGCCTTCAGTGAGCCCACTTTCATTATATTAACCACTGAAAGGGTCGTTTGTTTGCGAACATCGTCAAGATGGTTCTAAAAATGGGCCGGATCTTCATGATCGCCTGGTTCGATGGAGGCATTTTTACAAAAAGGCAGTTTAACCCCTAGCTAACGTTCCGAATATAGGATGTACTACTTTGAAGAATCTGCTATCACCTTTTAATGTCATATTAGAGAAACGCATTATTGGGAGACCAATTGGTCTAGATTCGTAGCACATTAACATCGCTTTCCATCGCAATGTGCTAAAAAGAGCCTAGAGAATTAATAAGAGAGCAGATTAAAACCCACATTAGTCTCATTTCTGAAGTACAAGGACACTCCCTTTTATTAATCAATTGTAGCAGTTGAATTTTTGATTCTCAATTGTTTCGTTATGATAAGAGTTCCTGTGCATGATTTTCTGCATAACTGCAAGGCTTCGCGTTAAGTGGCACTTTATTTAACCGAAAAAAGATCACTGATGAAGATAACGGATATGGCGCAGTATAGAAACAAACGAAATTTCACCGGGTCTACCAACGAACGTTGCACATTCCATTAAAACTAACTACATCTGACGAGTGCATAGAAGTCGACTTCAAAGGGCGTTTGACTACCGAGCATTACATCCGTGAGTGCATGAATATGAAGATAGTAAGAAAGGTCGCAGTCTCCGCTCATTTTCATCTATTTAAACACTCGGATGCGCTTGAGGCCAGCATGGCGTGCTAAAAGTGGTGTCTTGTAAGGTTGCCAACTGATAGAACACCTCGGCCTGTGTGGTCAGCTCAGTGTGCGTTTGCATGGACTGACCGACTAGTGAACTGGTGGTCAGGCTGCAATGGCTTCTTCTCAAAGTGGACTCCATGGTACTGCCACTCTGAGGGATCCGCACCAGGTATGGAAACACACCTTGGGGAGGGGAGCGGTTTCGGCCGCACCAGCCACCTGCGCCCTCTCCTGTCTCCGGTCTCCTTGACTTGGTCGTGACACCACAGCTAGGTGGGGGCGGGCAG